CAGATTCGTATATTTTAACCAGGTTGGATGTCCTGTCGTTATTTACAATCTCAACAGTCTGCATTTAATTTGAAACAGACATAACTTTGCTATGAAGAACCAACACAAGTTTCTGTTCAATACTTGAATCCTGTCTGTCGAATTCTTATTCTGTTTGAAATGATGATGTTTACTAAATGACTGGAAAACTTTGCATCATCATCTGCTTCCTATAAACATTTTATATGGTTCTGTTATGCAAACGACACTCTTTTATTTGGTGTTATGAAAGAGAAATTCTGAAAAACAATTTATGGAACACCTTAGCACTCAGTGTTCATCGATTCAGTTCAACTTACAGATAGAAGATAGTGGGTAACAATAATTTCTTGACACAGTCTTAATCAGAGATGGACATTGTATTTTAATAAAGACCTACAGAAAACTTTCAAGAAAAAGCCAATATATTAACTATCAATCCTGTGACCCACCAGGTATTAAACAAAGAATCATAAACACTTTAAAAATAAGTGTGTTAGAAATATATGCATTCTGAACAGAAAAATATAAAACTATGCGTTATCCGTTAAAAATGATCGATCGCCAATTGACAAAAGACATGTTTAAGTAGCGTCAAAATGTAACCACTGGGCCAAAACATCGAAAAACTATCAATAGATGTTCTTCATTATTTGGCCACCTAAAATGTCATCAAAACTGACACAAAAAATAGTTTTAAAATATTTTCAGACTAAACCGCAGATTCAGAGATAAATTAACAGAGAATATATATTCGATAACACACTACGAATGATGAAGTATTATTAATGGTATAAAATGCGGCTGCGGAAAGTAATATGCCAGCAAAACAAAAAACACCATTAAAAGTAGGCCTACGTTTTCTGGATCAAGAAACCTCTACATCCTTTGAAACTCGGGCTTTTTTTCTGCTAGTAAACGCATGATATTGTGTAAAGAAGAAACTTAATGGAAAAATGGCCACATTTTAGAGAAAAAGGCACCATCTCAGCAGTATGTATTAAATTTGAAGCAGACACGATTGTGCCATACAGAACCAACACAAGTTTCTGTGAGAAACAAAGGAAGCATTACACATCAAAATGACAAACTGTGACCAACATTTGTGTGATCCATTGCTGAAAGGCATGTCATCATCTTTTCTCCATTGGCAATGCATCATAAAAACGTAATATCAAATATTTTACTATTATTTGCAGTCCTTTTTTTAGTGAGTGAAAATTTTTAATTTGTGTAGGAAATAATTGTTTCCAGTTTTTTTTAATATTCTTAAATATCTTTTCTCTTGTTTGTTGGATTTCCACCCTATCTGATGCTTTCTGGTATTAACAAAAGGCGTAGTCGGTAGTGGCGTGCAGAGCACAGTATGCGATTGAGATGCTGTTGTGTTTCTTCTAATTGGAAACTAGTAATATAAAGCCATAAAACAAAGATTTGTGAAAAAGTATTATCTATTCCTTAGTTTTAGGAAGCCATAAAACAGAGATTTGTGAAAAAGTATTATCTGTCTTATTATGATGTAATGTCACACAAAGTACAAATCAAGACATCACGCTTTGTGAATAAAATACCATGATAGTTGATATATTGTAAAGGAGTAACATAAATAGCATTTCGGCCGTGACTTTGTGTTTTCCAATGCCAACCGACCAGATGAAACCTGGTATGTAGCAAAAAAAAAACCTTGTCGATAGTGGTTAGAAATCCCAGTACAGGGCCAAAAAAGAAAGATCTGTTAAAAACATATTAACAGGCTTATTGTGATGAAACGTCACACAAACTACCAATAAAGATTGAATTGTTTGAGAAATTCAATTACAATGCAGAAAAAGAAAGTATACATCTGGAAAAATGAAAAAAGAAGACGCGTGGGATGTGAATGACGCAAGAACAGTCGTATAACACCGCCTCAAAGCATACAAGAGAATATAGTGTTCAGTATTCAACACTATTATTGGATTAATTAAGAGGAATACGAAAAACAAAACACTTGCAGCATAGCATGCTTTTTTTATGAATATCAGACCTTTAAAATAAAATAACCTGATAATTGTACATATTTGAACATATGAGCTATATTTCTTTCATGTTTTTTTATCATTTCATTCACAAGCGTTTGATAATAATTTCAATATATCTAAGATTGTAGTCTGTTAATCTGTAAAATGAAACAGCTGACGACATTTCTAAAAGTATTATCGAATGCTTGTGCAAGAAATATTAAAACAATGTGTAAAAGTTGTCTTCTAATTGGAAACTAGTAATATAAAGCCATAAAACAAAGATTTGTGAAAAAGTATTATCTATTCCTTAGTTTTAGGAAGCCATAAAACAGAGATTTGTGAAAAAGTATTATCTGTCTTATTATGATGTAATGTCACACAAAGTACAAATCAAGACATCACGCTTTGTGAATAAAATACCATGATAGTTGATATATTGTAAAGGAGTAACATAAATAGCACGTGTATTTCATTATCACTTCATGAGCCTATATCAGTAGTTGATTTTGATGGCACTGAAATATTTTAGAAATTACAAAATGTATGGCAGTGTAATATAATTACATGTAAAACTTATATATTAATGTGTAAATTAAACCGAGCCGATAAGGATAAGCACAGATGTCTTTGTTTCTATATATAAGACGTATGACATTATATTAGGATAACACACAATCACGTAGAAATGACTATCAAAGCACAAAATCGAAATTTGTAAATGTACTTCAGGCTAAATTCTGTAAAATAAAAAAAAAGATTTCTTAAATTATTTTTCAAGGATTAAGACAATATTATAAAGCGTTTTAAAATAAAATGTAAATCAAATTAGAATTCAATTTTTCGTAACATTACAATCAAGGAATTCAATCTAGTTTCTGAGACTCTATAGTGTATTTCATTTAAAAGATAAGTATTTTGGACGTTTTTCAAAATGCAAGTTGGTGATCTTGAATGAGAATTAAATACCGTTCCACGTAATGACTGAACAGATATTTCAATTGGGTTTTAAACCAATATATTTGTTGAGTTGCACAAAGAGAAGTGTTCAAACCATGTCAAAGCTCGATTTTCACGTGTAACAAAAGTTAACTAAGTGAACTAATTTAAGATCTAGAGCCATTATCACATGAAAAACACACAAAAAACAGCAACACACAAACAAACAAAAAATTTGAACATACTGGTGTTATTTAATGTTTATAGCACCAGCACAAAATATGAAAATTCAGATCCATCAAAATACTTCTAAAACACATTTAAGAAAAAAATAAATACATAAATTTATACACAATATTTGGCATAAATTGCACGAATTACAAACTTTTTATTTGAAAACATATCGTAAATACTTTACTATTTTTAAACACCAATTATGAAAATATATCTCTTAATTAATGATGGCATAAATTTACTAAATTTTGTAATATTCCAGGTAAAATATCATAATTGAAAAAAAACCATGAATACCAACATGTTCCCATGGACGTTTCTACACAACCGTGTAACAAAAGTCAAGTCATTCATAATATTTGTAATAACCTTTGTAATTGCTTGAATTTGATTTATTGAATTGTTATGTTAGATTTTTTAAAAAAAAGCAAATTTTAACTATAACTTCATTTACAAAAATATATTAGCATGTTCATGTACAAATATTATGATTCCTTCCATGACATACTTTTGCCTGTTAATATAATAAATTCCAACAGACTTAACACAAACAAGTGGTCTTCCTCTACCTAATACATCCAGACTATCTCAGCTATATATTTTTATTATCAGAATATGAATATTATGTTGCTTACCATTCATCACAGCAATGAGATAATATATATTGCAGAGCGAGGGTTAACAACACATAAAAATACTATAACAATTTACTTAGTGTTGTTCTAAAGAGTTTGTATGAAATACAGAACCAGTTTGGCACTACAGGTAACATTATAACTAATTTTAAAATATTTTCAGGATTTTTCATTTTAATCGTTTTCAGTAGCTTTTAATAATCAAAGTAAATATTACTTTGTTAACTAAAGTTAAATATGACTTCCCAAGTAATAAATGTTTATTTCACTGAATGAAACTATACATCACAACATTTTTTCCGAAAATTTATATACCAGTTACGGAATTAAATTTCAACTTTCCAAAAAAATGTCTCTATAGTTCCACATTTATTTGACTGAAGTTATGACTCAGAAAAGTGATTTTTAAGAAGCCACTTTCAATTCGCTGGTCTTCAACATTATGTATACTCATCTAATTGCACTGGAGTAGCTTTTCCAAAGGTTTGATATTCACCTAACCGAATTTTAACAACCTTAGTAGTTTTATATTGATCTAACTACTGGAGTGCATGACTTCTTCACCGATTAATTTTATAAATCATCAAAATTACAGTACCGGTGCAAAGCAAAACTTAAGATATTATTGATTTAACTAAATAGGTGTACTTTCATAACAATTGGTATTTTATTATGTATCCATTAGTCGTTTTGATATTTGGAATGGTTGAAAATGTGAAGATACTTTAGTTATAAAACAATTTATTTTATGGAGCTAATGGTATTGTCACTGGGTTACTACTTTTGTATTAAGAGGGTGAATCGTAATCCTTTTGATATTACTAGATTACACAGACCTGCGATGGTTTTATTGTCTTGAAATTTTTACATGTTCTATAGTAATTCTTGAATCCGAAAATGATATTCATTTTTCTTCATCACGTACAGATTTTTCACAAAACGCCATAACGCAATACATAAAAGAAAGACCACAACATGTAGTTTTGAGACTAAAAGACGCATGTTTCACAAAAAATCAGGATGTATGAGGATGCATATTCGTTTGATATTAATGTTCTTCCCTTGTCTTCAGTTTGTTTGTATTTTTTGTTAACAAACATAACAATTGTGGTTCATTGTGGTAAACGAAATAATAATTTGATCTAAGTAAGAGTTATTTTCTTCTTCCCAATTTGTAAGAAATCCTTACGTGATAGAAAAAAAATATTAGTTTCGAAATCTGCGTAGCTGAATTATGTGAATTAAGATTAAAACAACTTTTATAAAGCTTAAATTCGCGGGCCTGTGTTATCAAGGAAAAAACTGATTTAAACACAGAAATTAGATAAAATGTGATTAAAAAAAACATTGATATCTGACATCTCAAGATAACTATGGGGCTAATATATTTAAATATATATAAAAACTGACATCAACTTTTTATACCAAGAATTTTACGTGTCTACTCCTGCTTGCGATATCTTAAATTTTTCATATATTCTCATGATGATATTTCCTGAGCAAAATAGTTGAAGCTAATTCCAGTTTAAAAATTGTACAATCCTTGTTTATGACATTCAGGTATTATACAAACAACAGAGTTGTATATAAGTAGGTATTACTCTCAAAGCAAACTGTGTTTTGATTACACATATCCACACATAAGTACATACATACCGTGACAGTTCGTGAATAGCTACAAATATTTCTAAATATTATAGGTCTCCTGTTAAGTCTTGAAATCAAAATGTTTTGGTGAGATGTTGCTACTCACTTGCTCTGGAATTATTTATCATTGCTTGTATTCTATCATAGTGCTTCATCTGCACCATTATAAACGTAACCATTTTCATCATCTGAGCTGTGAAGTGGCTGCTTTTCTGGGGGACGCTTTCTGTCAAAGAAACCCACCTACGAAAACAAGACATATATTTTACTTCTTTAACAAATGGTTTTCTTCAGGACACAAACATTGTTATACATAACAAAATTATGGATAAATTAATTATATTTGTTATAAGACATTAGTGGTGGGCATATTATATTTGTTAAAAGACATTAGTGGTGGGCCTATTATATTTGTTATAAGACATTAGTGGTGGGCCTATTATATTTGTTAGCAATACATTCTTTATTCAGACCCTTAGGTTTTTCACAAAGGAAAAATGTGTATAACAGTATTTCAAACACACTTTGTCCGCCATATCTATTACCGATCCCGTGTTTCGTTCAAGCCAGAGCTCATCAGGCCGGCTAGTATACAAAAAGACAGTAGTGGTCGGAACACTATTCATATAAACCATTTCTTACAACAACAACTTATTATGATGAATAATAGGTCTAATACGTATGTCTTATGACAAGTATAATTAATTATAATCATACTTCGCCAGGTTAGAAAAGGCGTTCACAACATAAAAATCATGGTTCTTATTTGTTTCCTGTCTTTCTGAAAGTATTATGTTTTGAACTTAATGAAACCGGACAAGTATGGTGTTTCTAAAGAAAGATTTTTAAATTTGTTACTTACATTGATATTGTTTATAAATGAAATAAAAAAAATTTTCTTACAAAAGAATGACCAATTGTTAAATACGCTATCAAATCTCCTGCAATGAGCGTTTTCATGTACGATGTTCAAAACTCAAAAAGCAAGTTTTTCTTACTAAACAAGGATATAC